AGTGGTGTAATTTATCTTGCCTTTGCTATCCAGCGGGTAGGGGAACCAAGGAGATTTGTAGCACATTCAAACTCTGCCATGGATCAGAGAGGACGCCCACAATGCAAGCAGGAGCAATGAAGAAGGGACCACGGAGAACTGATAAACAAGAACCAATATTAATCTGGCCCCACAGCAAACTGCCCTGGGGATGTACAGGCCACAACAGACATAGCTTTACCTAAGGGCAAGAGACTTCAACTCCCATCAGCACCAGCCAGCATACCCAAATAGCCACGGATAATGGGAACTGTAGTCCAATCATATCTAGGGGGAGAAATTGAATCCGGTTTGCATTTAAAGGTGAACCTACCTAACTCACGCTTTCCGAAACAATATGCAAACAGCCATCCTTTGAAATCTGCGCAGCTCTGAATTTTGCAATGCAGTTCTCCAGCCAAGTATAAGCCAAGTCACGTGTACAAAGATGCATATATTAGGGCATAGTGTGCATAAAAAAAGCATGTACTGTGAAAATAACATATAAAAGGGCATGACATTAGGGGGAACTGTCTTGCAAAAAAAAAAACCACAAGTGTGTTAGGCAAAAATGCATACAAAAATGAGTACACTGGGAGAAATTTGCAGTAAAATGCTGATGGTAACTTTTTTAAAAAATGAAAAATGATGTGGAAATGTGAAGAGCTGTACTTAAAGTGTGGGGAAAGGAGAAACGGAGAGAAATCGAAACTGACACGATTTGTCCATTTTCAACTATATCTGGAGGGCCACAGATAGTTCCTTCTCCCTATGCCCTCTAACTGGCCACAATGCATCTAGAAATAAGAAGTGAATACTGCTCCTGAATTAGGAGGCTCTATTTTGAGCATTCAAAGCCAGCAGGTGGTGGCATTCACAATAGAAGGGTTAACAAAAGGGGTGGAGATTGTGTGTTTTTTGTCACTGCCCATGGAAAGGTAGCAGTGCTGAGATTCCTACAACTGACCTATTAAATGCCTACTTATTGCTACGTACAAGCAGAGTAAAAATTGCCACTAGACAGAACACGGAAGGAGAAGCCACCTAGACTCCTACTGACAGCCCTGGCACACATTGCCAAGGTTCTCTCTGTCAGTTTTACATCTCATGGACAGTTAATATTGGTGAGGATCAGCAACAAGAAGCTCTGGTGTACTAAAGGGACAGACAGCCAATACAAATACTAAGAAACAGGCCCCGTGGGTGAGGAGCAAGTGATCCTAGCAGCCAGTTTGCTCCATGGCGAGGTCTCCTGAATGATAGATGAATCCTTTTGGATCACCACCTGACTTTTCAAATGTCCTTTCATTTGGGTCCTTAGCATTGCTAAGTGTTCATCCTGGCTCAGACGACAACATCAGTGATGTGTTTTGTGCAGAGCAGGTGTGGGAAACCTTTGGCCTTCCAGATGTTGTTGAACTACAACTCCCATGATCCCTGGTCATTGGCCTTGCTTGCAAGGGGCAAGGGCAGTTGTAGTTCAGCAATATCCGGAAGACCAAAGGTTCCCCCACACTGATGTTTTGGATCTGGTTTAGGTAGGGTTGCCATATTTCAAAAATTCCTGACACCTGTTGAGCTTTTTTTTAGGAAGACCCCCAAATTGTTGAGCACCACCCCCCCGGGTTTTCCCTAATGCCATTTTTGCATCCGAAAACCAGGACATGTCAGGAATTTTCATGACAAACGGCAAGCCTAGGTTTATGATGCTTAAGAGCACCATCTTAACAGGTTTCAAATGAAACAGAATAATTTTTTTCCCTTCCAGTAGCACCTTAGGTAAAGGTAAAGGTAAAGGGACCCCTGACCATTAGGTCCAGTTGTGGCCGACTCTGGGGTTGCGGCGCTCATCTCGCTTTATTGGCTGAGGGAGCCGGCGTACAGCTTCCGGGTCATGTGGCCAGCATGATTAAGCCGCTTCTGGTGAACCAGAGCAGCGCATGGAAATGCCGTTTACCTTCCTGCTGGAGCGGTACCTATTTATCTACTTACACTTTGATGTGCTTTCGAACTGCTAGGTTGGCAGGAGCTGGGACCAAGCAACAGGAGCTCACCCCGTCACGGGGATTCGAACCGCCGACCTTCTGATCGGCAAGTCCTAGGCTCTGTGGTTTAACCCACAGTGCCACATGCACACGAAAGCTCATACCAATAACTAAATTAGTTGGTCTCTAAGGTGCTACTGGAAGGAGGGAAAATTATTTTGTTTCGACTATGCCAGACCAACACGGCTACCTACCTGTAACTAGGTTTCAAATGAGTCATATGGCTTGCAATTTGACTCAAGGGAATCCTGAAACTGCCTGAATGGTCTTTGGTTTGGAGAATGCCTTTTGGAGAGGGGCCCTTACTCACAGGTAGAACGCATGTGTTGAAAGCTGAAAGTTCCAAGACTGATCCCTAGCACCTCCAGCTTGGCCAGCAGGACCAAGAAAAGTCCCAGCCTGAAAATCTGGAGAGCCACTGACAACAAGATTCAACAATACAGTTGACTGAGCATTCTTATCACCCTTGAAAAAGGGCCAATCCCTTGCCAGCATTTTAATCTGAGAATGTCCACTGCACTGCCTTGTTCAAAGTAGAAGGGGATGGTGGCAGCTTGCAGGGTTGAGACTACCGCTGGCCACAAACTGAGCTATGCTCAAATTGACCCTGCCTGCAATCATGAGTGAGCGCCTCACAAGACAATTGAGTGATTCACAAGACAATTCAGGCTGACCATTGGTCTGATTCTGTATAAGCAGTTTATCACGGTTCCAAAAACTAGGCTATCAATCCTCCAAGTGCCTTGCAGAAGTGAAACTCTCCAGAGCCCTTGAGAAGGATTAAATGTCTAGGCAGGGTGTATGTGATTAGACGCACACACACATATAGCGAACAGAGCCGAATGTGGCAGCCAAAATCAATTCTGCAGTTTAAGGATGTAAATATTTGCTTGCATCGTACCATTTTTTGTGGTTTTGCAATCCATATTGCAAATGAGCTACCATGACTGAGCAGAAAAATGAAGCTTTCCCTCTGGCTAATGAAAACTTAGTAGCTCTGCTTTTCCTCCCATTTCACCCACTGAGCACATAGCCCTGGGAAAGCTTGTGCCAATTGCTTGCTTCTGCATTCCATTCCGCAATCCATTGCTTGCTTCCGCATTCCAGGCGTCTCTGTTGCCGGTCATCTTCCCCTTCCCCTCCCTGGCCATTTCTTCCTGCCTATATTAACCTCCCAAGGGACGCGGGTGGCGCTGTGGGTAAAACCTCAGCGCCTAGGACTTGCCGATCGCATGGTCGGCGGTTCAAATCCCCGCGGCGGGGTGAGCTCCCGTCTTTCGGTCCCAGCTCCTGCCCACCTAGCAGTTCGAAAGCACCCTTAAGTGCAAGTAGATAAATAGGTACCGCTTTATAGCGGGAAGGTAAACGGCGTTTCCGTGTGCTGCGCTGGTGCTGGCTCGCCAGAGCAGCTTCGTCACGCTGGCCACATGACCCGGAAGTGTCTCTGGACAGCGCTGGCCCCCGGCCTCTTAAGTGAGATGGGCGCACAACCCTAGAGTCGGACACGACTGGCCCGTATGGGCAGGGGTACCTTTACCTTTACCTTTTATATTAACCTCCCAGTGGAAATTAGACCTTCGGATTATGGATCTCTCTGCCTCAAAATATTTGAAGAGGCATAGCTTAGTGGTAGAACACCTGCTTTGCATGCAGAAGGCCCCAGATTCATTCTCCAGCATCTCCAGGTAGGGCTAGGAGGGGGCTCCTTCTCTGAAACCTCGGAGAGCTGCTGCCTGTCCGTGTCGACAGTACTGAGTTGGATGGACCAGTGGGTCTGACTCAGTAGAAGGCAGTTTCCTATGTTCCTGGAAGGCTCAAGAGATCTTTGGGGCAGTCAGCAGGAAAAGGGCAGCTGCATGATCGTCAGAAATGCCAGTGAACAAATGGGGGAGATTTATAAACCCCCCCCCACGCACCCAAGTAGCAATTTGACTCCTATTTCCTTTGGTAAATAAAAGGCAGGACTAGAGCATAGACTGAAGCCAGGGTGACTGAGACGATTCACTTGCAGGGGGGGGGGTCTAATAAAACTACAGAGCTGCAGACTCAATTAGTTACAACTTGCAGACGAGCTTTTCTTTTAAAAAAAACACCAAACCAAAAAAACAACCCTTTGTATACAAAAAAAGAAAAGAAAAAGGAATTACATACGATTCGTATATAGATGATATAAAAATGTACAGCCCGGTTAAAAGGGTCTTCACTTATCAAGAGTAGAAGTATGAAAAGAGCACCATTGTTAGAAGCAAGAAAGATATTGATCCTGTTCCACTCTTCACTGTTTAGATCACGGAGGCAAAGAGGTCTCCAGTTAGAATCCAAAGTGGGATCCACCTGTCATGTGTTCTTTGGCCAATAAAGAGATCTTGGGCCAGCATGGGCCTCCCTCCTATAGGTCACTGGCACCATGTGCCTCTGCTTCCATAAAGAGACTCAGAGGTAACCCCAGTTACGTGACTGTGATGGGTTAGGGGGCGAGAGACTGGGGGCAGAGAGGGGCAGGTACATGCTTGTGTCTGCACCAGCCAAATTGCCAAATAGCTTCTGACACCAGTCTTTTCCCTGAATTGTTGCAAAATGCTTTCCTGCTACAAATGTCACACGGTTTTGGCAACCTATTTCCTGCACAATATATAGATAGAGATATATATTTATATATGTAATTCATGTCAAATTTTATTTTCTTTATATTCCAGAAGATACAAAGCTATTGACGCTTGCTTTTTCTTTCTTTCTTTCTTTTTTATGGATTTTTATTATTATTATTACTATTATTATTATTATTATTTTACAAAAAGTTAGATGTTTAACTAATACAGCATTTTTTAATTTTATTCTCTCCCCTGCCCTCCCCACCCCACCCCAAACTTCATTTTAAATTACAAAGGAAACAGCAGGACACCCCCCCAATGAAATTTGCTGGATTATTATTTTTTAAAAAAACAAAAAGTGCTTTCCAATCACATCATTTAAGTGAATATGGCAACCAACTCATTTTAGCAACAAGGGAGAGAAAGAAAGAAGGCAGGAGTAAGTGGAATTGAAGATTCAGACTGCAATCCTATGCCTGATTTCTGAGGAGTAAGACACATTGACCTCAATGGGACTTACTTTTCAGGGGGGTGCATAGCACTGCACGGTTAAAGGTTCTGCTTCCATTTTCTCTCTACGACAGACCAAACCCGAAAGAAATTAATGTGGTTAAAGCACAAAGCATCATTGTACACAATGCACGGGACGAGGGATATGGTTATATGCACCAATGGCAAACATCTCGCCAAAGACCCATAACAACAGCGATCCTAGGTAATAAGGCTTTGCACATAAATAGGATGTCGTCATTCCTCGAGTGTACAACCCTAATTAATTACAAACTAATCTATCCACACATGGGTGGCTCGAAATGTATTATAGTTCCCTTTGAAGCACTCTGTTAATAGCTTAGCCAAAATCATACATGAGATCCAGAAGTGGGGTGGCGATTATTAACATTTTACCAGCAAAAAAGAGAAGAGACATATGAAGTTTATGATGCATTTGAAACATCTTCCTTGCAAGGAAGATTCCACTTTTTCCAAAAGTTTTAAATACTATCTATTGGGGAGGGGGGAGCGCGATGCTGACATCATGTTGCCGTCAACTCAACACCAGCAGGCTGGCAAATTAAGAAGCACTCATCAGCAACAAGAAAAAGTCCACCATGTCTGTGTGGTCAGGGGATGTCGTTATCGCTCTTTTTCCCCCCTGAAGGAGGACAGCAAAAGCCTCGAATGAATCATTTATATGTTTGGAAAGTATAAACAGAGCCATTACAGAAGTCGAAAGGCAGATGAATGAAACACTAATGATAATATAGGCAGCACAGTGTGATATCATTTACTTCAAAAGCAAAGTATACAGCCCACGTCAATTCCAGCTTCCACCTTTCCAAGCCAGTCCACCAAGATTTCCCCCAACTCCTTCTCTCCTTTCGTCAAAATCCACCCAACTCAGCTCCACAATTCTGCATTTCCATTGGATCAAAGAATAAAAACCTCAACAACAGGCCACAAAAAAAACTTGCTTTAAAAAAATCACAGTTCGAAAAGAAAGGAAAAAGTGCTAAGTTTGTTTTTTTATGACTATACCTAAGATATACTCCGAATATTCTGCACTTTTTCTTTCCACATGTGAATTCTTTCTCTCTTTTTTAAAACTTCTCATTCTTCTTCTCCTTACCCATCTCATGACCTTCAACTCATAACTTGGCACCATCCACATAGAAGAGTCAGCTAAGAACCAAACCTGTCCGACATAAGCTTGGAGAAATTGTCTTGCGCCTTTCTGTGCGGAAGTTTGAAAGGGCAGGGAGATGTTGGGCGGGAATGTGATTGGTTCTTAAAAAGCAGAACGGTCCCTGCTGTAAGGCATGCTGCTCTGGGATTGGCTGATGGTCCGTCGCCCCTGTCCCTGCCCCATAGAGAATCTGCAGCCTGGTTGGTTGGTTCCACCGACGCAAGCGCCAAGGCTTTTCCATATCTGAATGGCAGTGATGGTTAATTAATGAGATCCTGTTTGTTGAGTCGTCTTCTTCTTCTTCTTTTTTAGTTGAGGAAAAATAATAATAACAATAACAAAACAAGCGGCGGGACTTTAGCCCTAAAAAAAGAAAAGCAAGAGTTAATTAATAGGGGTAACGGGGCAGGGAGGCGCCACAAAGTCCAAATAGGTTTTATTCTAAGAGCAGCTGAAATTAAGGAAGAAAATTAAAACAAGGTACAGTCAAACCTCGGTTCTCAAACGCCTCTGTAGTCGAACATTTCAATTCCCAGATGCTGGAAACCTGGAATTAACTGCTCCGGTTTTTGAACGATTTTCGGAAGCTGATTGTGCTACGCGGCTTCCGTCTTGAGTTTCCCTACTGTATCGAGGCTTCTGCTTCCAGTTTCCGGTTGTCAAATGTTTTGGAAGTCGAACGGTCTTCTGGAACGGATTACGTTCAATAACCGAGGTTTGACTGTATTGGCACAGGGGCTTCTCCCTGAGGGAAGTGCTTGCTGCTACCTCTCTTTCAAGTTTTTTTTTTGGGGGGGTGTGTGCTCAGGGTCAGGGCCAGCCTATGCAAGAGGCAAGGTGAGAAAAGCGCCTCGTGCGGCAGAATCCACAAGGGCAGCAGATCTGGCCTCCAAGGAACACATCTGCTGCTGCTGCTACAGTTGTGGTGCACTCCTTGGAGGCCGGATCTGCCACCAAGGATCCACCAAGGGGGGGGGTGTGGCAGATCTGCCATGTGGATCTGCCGTCCCCACCCACCCCGCCATGCCACCTCTACAATGGCCTTTTGGTGAAGAGGAGGTGCTGCTGGTCTCCTCCCCACCACTAGGGAGGAGATGGCAGGAGCTTCCCTCTGGGGTCTCCTGGGCTCTGCACCCACTTAGCATCGTTCAGAGCGGGGCCCTTTCGCTCCCATGATGGCCTTTGATTCCCACTTCAATCATTGGGTAAGGTAGATATGACTCCCACCCCTGTTCCCAATGTAGATCTTCATTCCGCCTTGTTCCTGGTGTAGACCTTCGCTCACACGTCCTTCCTTGGCACCATTTTGTGGTTCGCCTCAGGCTGCAAAATGTCTTGGGCCAGCCCTGAGTCAGGGTAGGGAGTTTGTGACAGATGAGACGGTGGGAACTACAGGGGCTTTTTCTTTGGCGTTTCTTGACTGGGAAACTTGAATAGTCTCTGCTCCTATTGAGGTGAACAGGAAGGAGACCACCCAACCCTACCTGGAAGGTAACAAATTACAGTGGTACCTCCGGTTGCGAACGGGATCTGTTCCGGAGGTCCGGCCGTATCCCGAAGTTTTCGCAACCGGAGAGACCGCTTCTGCGCATGCGCGAGCGGTGAAACATTTCCCGGTTTGGCGCTTTCTCAACCTGAAGTTTACGTTACCTGAGGGTAACATAACCGGAGGTTTCATTGTATTCTAAAGGAACAGAAGAGAGGTAAAAAGGTAAAGGGACCCCTGACCATTAGGTCCAGTCATGACAGACTCTGGGGTTGCGGCGCTCAATTCGCTTTATTGGCCGAGGGAGCCGCCGTACAGCTTCCGGGTCATGTGGCCAGCATGACTAAGCCGCTTCTGGCAAACCAGAGCAGCGCACAGCAATGCCATTTACCTTCCCACTGGAGCGGTACCTATTTATCTACTTGCACTTGGACATGTTTTCGAACTGCTAGGTTGGCAGGAGCAGGGACCGAGCAACGGGAGCTCACCCCGTCGCGGGGATTCAAACTGCCAACCTTCTGATCGGCAAGCCCTAGCCTCTGTGGTTTAACCCACAGCACCACCCGCGTCCCTTAGAAGAGAGGTAGGAATAGGCAAAACTCTGTCCCAGAGTAATCTACATAGTTGGAGCAGAACTGCGTAGAGCAGCCCCTCTGCAAAAACCCTTAAATAATCCCCGCTGTAACACACTTTGGGGTTTGAAACAGGTCCTTGCTTTAGAACAAAGGTTGCCAACATGGTGCCCCTCTAGTTGTTCTAAATCCCACCAGCCTCAACCAGCATGGCCAGCGGTCAGGGAAGATGGGGGCTTCAGACCAGCAATGTCTGGAAGGAACCTTCTTTAGAGAATGAACGAGGCAAGGGGGATAAATCACAGCAACATTAATAATATTTAGCATTTAAGTTGTGCTTTAATGCAGCGTTCAAAGAACGCCACATCCATTCACTTGCTGTGATCTATACTGCAACCCTGTAAAGCAGGTCAATATTTTTTTCTTTTACTTGACAACCCTGTAAAGTAGGTCAGAAAGAGTGGCTGGCCTAAGGCTGTCTAGCGAGCTTGGAAGTGGCGAGATTCAAACAAGGGATTTCCTGGTTCATATCATCATCATCATCATCACCATCAACAACAACAACAACATGGAGGGGTGAAGCCAGCTGCCATGATGCTACAGTATCCCCTTGTGTCCTGACAGATGCTTCTCCAACCACTGGAACAGAGCTTAGGTTCTTGCCTATTGAGACCTTGGAGACAGGAAGACCCATGTTGTGCTGGCCACCATGGCTGCAAAGCACGGTTTCATTGCTCAACAGTCGGAACAGTGAGGTTCACACTGCTTACACACAACGCCATAGCTGACAAACCGTTGCAAATTCTAAAATGGAAGCCAAACTTGGGTCAAGGGTCTGACTGTACCACAGACCAGCTGCGGCTAGAGCAGCTGAGAGAGAATATCTGTGAGAAATCAACGTGGAAGAAGAAAGCAAGCAAGTGTGGAAGAAAAAGTGAGCCTATCAGGTTGGGACTGCAGCAAGAAATGGAACTGTTGATCTGTGGTTGGACTGGCCAGTAACTAGATCAGGCAAGAGCACAATGAGCCATTGTCTAAAGCAGGCTTCCTCAAACCCGGCCCTCCAGATGTTTTGGGACTGAAACAGAGGCGTAGCGTGGGTTGTCAGCACCCGGGGCAAGGCAAGTAATTTCCGCCCCCTAACCCATGGATTTGCGCCCTCTAACCTGTGGATTTGCGCCCCCTATCCCTAACCCCCAGATATTGCGCCCGGTGCGGCCGGCCCCCCCTGCACCCCCCACGCTACGCCACTGGACTGAAACTCCCATGATCCCTAGCTAGCAGGACCAGTGGCCAGGGATGATGGGAATTGTAGTCTCAAAACATCTGGAGAGCCGAGTTTGAGGAAGCCTGGTCTAAAGGGCTAGGAGTCAGAAGACTGTGCCCGTTTTCCAGGAGAAGGCATCCACTTGCTCCAGATTGCCTTGGATCAAGCTTGTTGATATGGGAATGGTTTTGAGCTTCACTCAGGGTATGGTAAGCAGAGCTCCTGCAATTTTGGCTCGGGATACTAAGGGCTGCCTGTTCTGTCCATGGGACATGGGGATCCATTTTGATCTCAGCTGTTACATGGCCACCTCTCCCCTCTCAGTTTTGTGGTAGTGGATTGATCAGCAAATCCTTGAAGGCACCGAAGAAGACCCTCAACATCGGGCTGCTAATAAAAGTGAAAATACACTGAGGACTGGAAGCGTTCTGGCTCCACATATAAGAACACCGATTCACCTCCTTTCCAGGAAAATTTTATCAGGGATTTCCGTTTCATAAGAGGACGGCTGGGAGTTTTGCGACCAGTTGCTTAGCTTCACGTACGTTTCGTATGGGTTACAATGGACTCCACCAGCAGTGCATTGCAGCATCTTATCAAACAGTGATGAGTGAAATATATATTAAACAGAACACACTGAAAGCAATTTCCTGTCTGCTTCTGCCTGCAAAGGAACCAGGCGGGCAGAGAGAACACACAGCGATGCAACACCATGCGCAAACAAGAAAAGTTAATCACGAGCACCAATTACCGTGAAAAGGACCTACCATGCATGCAAATTAGACCCAGGAGTCAACAGGCTGGGGTTTAGGGTCACGGGCATCCACCAGAGTCACCGAAGCCCTGTTACTCCTGTTAATGGTTTTCCTATTTGTGTCATTCTGCAGCAGACAGGGTGAGGCGTTAAAAAGGCAAAACAGAGCAGATTAATCAAACAGACAAACAAACTTGCCAGTTCAAAAGGTTTGCAAGGTAGCATTAGTGCAGAAAAGAAAAGGAGAGAGACAGAGAAACAGGGAGAGAGACAGAATCAGTAAAAAGCATGCTTCATTCCAAATTCCAGTAACAACAGCCGTGAGCACTAGGCAGACAGTGCTGGATGCATCAATGTAATTGCAGCTCACGACAAGTGGCTCTCCCAGCAGCGGAGCCAATCAACTGCAAGCGCTGGAGATCAACACACACCTTGCCTTTGGAGGAGAGGAGGATATTGCATTGCAGGGGGAGGGAATCTGCACCCTGCCCCGTAAGAAATGGCTGGGCAACAACTCCCATCACTCCATGCTGGCTGAAGCTGATGGGAGTTGGAGTACAACAACATCTGGAGGGCTACCCCGTGGAAGTGACTTGCCCAGGGCAGGATTACGACAGAGTGTTAGCTTCCCAGCAGGGGAGTTGTGGCAAAGTGGCAGGGAGGTTAACGCAGTGCAAGCACATCAGCAGAGCCAATCCTGCCAGTGTGTAAACACTGCGCCAACCTCCCCACTGCTTTGCCTCCTTCTCTTCCCGGTAAGCAACAACAACTCTGCTATCCAGGAGCTAGTGTTGCGGCTCTGCCTCGTGGAGCAATCTACCTCTGGGCCACAGGTCCTCCCCAATGATGTATTGCTTTGCATTCCAACAGTGGCTGCTACTGGCTTGCTCAGAGTGTGGCAAAGTAACACAGCCTGTCCACATTACCTAGAAAGGGGGGTGGGAATGAACCTTTCTATAGGAAGGCTGAGTCAGGGAACAGATAAGGAATAAGGTGAACTTGGGAAAGGCATTAGAAGAAAACTTCATTCTCCTTCCTTGATCCATGTTTTGTGTTGATTCATGTTTGAGCCTGAGATCAAAAAGTAAAAGCATGGACTTGAACTGAGAGAGAGAGAGCAGGGAAGCCAAAATATCCAGCTTGTGTATATGACCTCATTTTGCTTTGCTAACATGAACAGAACTTCACATCTTCATTAAACACTTTTGAAGAATACAAAGCAGAACTTGCTGACTGGTGTGCAGCAGAAGGACCTCACCCAGCACCCCTACGAACCAGCTGGGCTCCTTGACATTTTGGGGTGAAGAACGGCTTCCTTAGAGAAAATACAAGACCTACCAGAAGTCTAATGCCTTATTAGCTTAAGACATCAAGCAACCAAGCACCTAAATGGCACAAGGCACATGCCCAGCAGCCCAAGATGAAGCACTGGCTTACATATTTCAACCTCCACAAAGGCAGAGACATTTCGGCACCTGCAACATTTGGATACTTAATTTGCAGGAATAAGATTGGGGAGCTTTCACACTTCTACTGCTTTCTAACTGTTTTATGATTGTACTCGTTGTTAGAAAATCAATTTCTTTTTGCATAAATAGATAAAACAAAGCAGTGACACTTGCTGCTGGTTTTTTATTTTTTGAAATTATTTTTTTTAAAATAGCAGTTGTGGAGGCTCTGAATTTGATTGGAGCAGAAATGCTTAATCCTTCAGCTGCCGGCTGCTCCTCTCCTGAGCATCTTTTCTCCTTTCAGGGAGAAATATGCCTAGAACCAGTATCTTTCCCCTTGTAGTTGAGAAAGCACTTGCAGGGAAGAGAAAGGAGGAGATTTTGATTGGAAAGATAGCCCACAAAGGAAGGATTAACCACCCCGTGGCTACTACTCTGACAAAATTCAGAACACCCACAGCTGCATTCAAAGTAAAAACAACAGGCCATTCCATCGATATCCTGCATCACGCCCAGTTTAGCTCAGAGGATGACTCTGTGTGTATTGATTTGTGGTACCCAATGGCTGCTGCTCAGCAGACAGCAGACAGGACTAGCCACACACGCTTAGCTGGAAGTTAAGTTCTATTAAACTCAATAGGTAGACATGCCTAGGACTGCATTATTAGAATCATGTGCCTTCTTCTTGTTCTACAGCAGGGGTGGCCAACTCCCAAGAGACTGAGATCTACTCACAGAGTTAAAAACTGGCAGTGATCTAACCCCTTTTGGGGGGTTCAGGTCAAAGTTGTTGAGTTTTTTCAGGGTATCAACAACAATGGTGTCGTTGGGGCAGTACCAGCTCTAAGGGTCACTGAGGTCTCTTAATCCACGCACAGCTGTAATCTTCACCCACTAACAGTGCTGCCCGGTGGAACTTCATACGGAAAGCAGAGCAGCGGGTCAAGAGGGCAGTGGGTCTTGCGATCACACCACAGCTTTAAGGCTCTCGAGCACAGCTAAATAAAGCATGCGGCTTACTGGAGTTGCCACTGGGAGTGTGGCTGGGAAGACGAGGGATTACCCTAACGAGGTGGGCGGATGAAAATTAAGAAGTCCCTGACAAAATTGCTGAGCTGAAACAATCCTTGCAATTTGAATGATACAAAGTTCCCCAGGACAGGATGCTAATTGCAAAACCGTAAGGACAAAAAAAGAGAGAAGGTGACGAGCGCAGCTTGACATATTGGGAGAGGACCGAGGGCCCAGATAAAAGGAGATTTCCTAAGGCAGAAGCCATATTGATTTGTTGCTGGTCAGTGTTAGGGACACCTGCTCGGCACGCAGAAGGTCCCAGCGCAGTCCCTGGCTTCTCTGGTAGCAAAGATGCTCTATCACTTCTCAGGGACACTGGAACCCATAACATAGGGAATAAGCGTTGTGGAATCCACAGCACGTGATGGTTCCATGTTCCATGTCCACCAGTAAATTGGATGGATGGGAAACCAGATTATATCTGAGCACAAGCCTGCGAAGTCAACCTCGCCTAGTTTTACACAGACACTCGCACGCATTTCCAGTTCTTCTCACCACGGAAACCACAAGGGAGCAGAGGTGCTGGTAGTGACTATTCTCAGGACAAAGTCTCCTGCACAGCTATAGACTTTAAGGTTGGGGTTGGTTTCCAAATGGAGGAACTGAAAGCAACAGAACAAAGAACAAAAGCAAAACATGTGTGCCTTATATGTAAGGAGCTGCTAAATCAGGGGCAGGGAATCTCAGGCCCTGGAGCTCAATGCGGCCCTCCATGTATTTCTATCTGGACCTCATGACTCTCACTAGGTGGAGCAATGAATGTAAATATCACCTTTTTCAGCCCAATGACTGCATTCCATTCTGGGCAAACCTCTGAGGGCCGCATGTCAGTCAGTGGTGGGTGGAGCCAGAGGCAAAAGTGGGAGGAGCAACAAATGTAAATTTTCTCTTTATGCAAGAGAAAAGAGAAAATCACACTCCTCTCTGTCCTCCATCAAACCATGCAAGAGGCATTGCCAGAGTTCAAGAACGCCTTCCAGTCAGGAAAAAACATTTGGGTGGGGTTTTTTGGGGGGGATCAATGAGGGGTGTGGCCTGGGGGATGTGTTCTGAGGACAGTTTTGAAGGCCAAACAGAGAGGTGTGGAGGACCACCACCTGAGGTCTCCCACCCTTGTCTTAGGGGTATTCTGAGCTCTCTACAGACAGTCATATGTGTTACTTCATGCAGCGCTTCATCTGAGGGATTCTCCAGCTCATTTGGCTCTAGACATTAGTCCCCAAATTCCTGCCCTGAGGGCACCACTGGCTCCAAAAATCCTGGCAGGGCCCACCACTGAGGTCCACCCTTTGCTTTTATTCTCAGTGGTCTGAGCAGAACCAGGTGGCCGAGTCCAGCTGCCATTTTAACTCCACACAATGCCTCTTGACGCAGCATCATGTGGAGGAAACATCTCCCAGGGACATTAAAAGAATGTCCGTCTGCCACCCAGTCCTAGCAACTAATGATGCCAGGCAAAATCAAAAGAGGAAGGGGGCTTGCTAGGACACACTTTGCCCAGGACCCCATCAAACATGGCTGCTGCTCTCACCCCGTGTCTTGGACTTAGCTTTCCACAGAAATGCCTTGCCCCAAGAGCTCTTCCTCCTCCACTCAAACTTCCTGTGAAGGAAATGGCCTTGGGATGTGGAGCGAGGGGACACACTTCCTTCTTCTTAGAACCGCAAGGATGAAGGGTCATTCTAAGAGAGTAAAGGGAAGCAGAGGTCCTTGGGAGACAGTGCCCCACAGGAATTCCCCTTGCCATCCCAACAGGATGGGCAGGTGGTGTGGAGGGTGGGCCAACACTGAGGTGTCAACCTAAGGTTTCATTTTACGCCCATTCTATATATCAAAATTTCCACAGCAGAAAATCCAGCTTCTAGGAAGCACAGTGTCTGTACGAGGGTTGGGAACACCACAGAGGGGAACGACAGATTCTCCAATCTTCACTACCAACAAATACAGTAGATTCTCTGATCTTCACTGCTAATGAATACAACAGGTTCCCTGATCTTCAGTGCTACTGAAAACCGTAGGCACCAGCGGCAGCAACACGGAGGCCAAAGGCAAGGAGGTGAGGCCTAGTATCTTCTCCTTTGTAGATGAGCAAATGGTATTATCAGAGCCATGGCAGCTGGGGATATTCAAAGGGGAGGTCTGTACCCCTATATAGAACAATTCAAATTAATTTTGCCTTACATTGGCTCACAAAACTCCATTAAAAGGTGGGGTGCAACTCATGCCTGATGTGCAACTCAGAAGAACACAGCTTACTTTTAGTGGTTCTTTCTCTGACGCGTCCCCCATGTTGTCGTTGGCTTTGTATTTTCGCTCTTTCTCCCGGTGATCGATGGTCGAGTAGCCATCTGCAGAGGAATGACAGGAGGCCATAAAGGAATCTGCGGCATCAATGGCAGCTTGGCATTAAATTGGTGCCCGTTCCACTGTTTCAAAAAGAGCATCGCAGTGGATACAAACCTTCACCCCATCCCAAAACTAGCACACATGGTCACACACACATACAAAGACGTCGTTCCACTGCTAGCATCTGTAGGTATTTTCCTTTAAAATATATATATATAATTGTTTCTCTAGATACGTTAGAACAAATTGCCCCAAACAATGCAGCAAAATTATAGAGTAAAAAGAAAACCCATAATGAATCGACAAGGTACTTTGCCTTAGCTGAAAAGAAAGTCTTCTCCCTGGATTGCAGAAATGTACTGTCCAATAAAACTAAAATATTACAATGTCTGTATATTAAGAGTAGACTTCAAGGACCTGTATTTTGTTATCTAGATTATTCGCAAACGAACTAGAATTCCATCATTACCCCACAAATGTGTGTCTGTCTGCTTCCTCCTGCTATTCTTAATTTATGTGCAAGTTTATCATTTAAAAGTGCTGCCACACCCTTTGGAGCTGTTTCCTAGTTCTGCTGGATGAGTGTTCAGACCCCTGGGCTCTCACTTGTGGGGTGCCTCAGGGATCCGTCCTCTCCCCCATGCTTTTTAATCTCTATATGAAGCCGCTGAGAGAGATCATCAGGGGGTTTGGGCTGGGTGTTCATCAGTATGCAGGTAACACCCAGCTCTACCTCTCTTTTAAATCAGAACCAGTGAAGGCAGTGAAAGTCCTGTGTGAGTGTCTGGAGGCGGTTGGAGGATGGATGGCGGCTAACAGATTGAGGTTGAATCCTGACAAGGCAGAAGTACTGTTTTGGGGGACAGGGGGCGGGCGGGTGTGGGGGATTCCCTGGTCCCGAATGGGGTAACTGTGTCCCCTGAAGGACCAGGTGTGCAGCCTGGGAGTCATAAGCAGTTATCCAATCTTTAAAAGACATCTGTTTAGGGAAGTTTTTAATATTTAATGCTGTATTGTTTTTAACACTCGACTGGGAGCCACCCAGAGTGGCTGGGTAACTCAGCCAGATGGGCAGGGTATAAATAATAAATTATTATTATTATTATTATTTGATCCCATGATGTCAGGTGAGCACCTGCAAGGTCTTCTCAAAGGGTAGCCATTGTCACCCTTGTGCTGTTATGCTATCTGAGCACTTGGGCATAACGGAGGATACCCTGTTGCTCCACAAACCTGCCAGGCTATTCAGATGTCCACTGGCAGCCCTGCTTCAGGCACCCCTAACTTTCAGAGGTGAAGGCCTCCTAGGAAACACGTCTCTGGCCCCTCTCCTGAAGGACCACCTCCACAAATACCTGTCACAACCTCTCACACTACCCTAAGGAAGATGTAGGTGAGGAGGGAGTTGTTCCTCTGCTCAGGGAGGAGAGGATAAAATGGGGAGATGGAAAACCACATGTGCCACCTCAAGCTCGATAGAGGCAGTGGCTGCCACCAACATGGGTGGCTTTAGAAGAAGATTAGACAATTTCACGGAGGACAAGGCTGTCAGTGTAGGCTATGTACCCCCTCCACTGTCAGAGGCATAGTGCTTCTGGATACTGAGAATTGCAGACAGGCAGAGTGCTGCTGCCCTCATGCCCAGCTTGTGTGGGATGTGAAACACAAGAGCAGTCAAGTACAACATTCCTAGAGTGAACATGTTTGCACATTGGGAGGAATGTTTGTCCAGCCAGCAGGTAAACTTCCTGTTTCCTTCTGGGCTGGGGCAGACTTCTTCTGCATGTGACTAGAGGTGGGTGTGGCCTCACCTGTGCAGGTAACGACAAAAGCACAGGGCAGGGCAGCCATCTCTCTCTTTTGACTACATGCATTGAAGAAGCAACATCTGCTTAGCCAAAGATGCCCTCTTGAGAGGACAAAGGGACTGTCTTCTTACGAGATAGTTTCTAGGTATATGCTACTTTTCTAAGCTAAGTCTGCCTTCTGGGATCCTATTGTGAACAGAATGATGTGTGAGTAAACCTTTTTATACTTTTATAGAAGACTGCATTGTGTCTTATCTTTTATGAGGGAATAAGGGGAAAACACTAGAACAGTTATTATAGAGGCTTTAGCGAGCCTCAGCAAACGCATCCGCTCCAAGTTTAAAAAGGGGAATGTTACTCTGCTAAATTGTGAATTGTTAACACAAGTTGGAAAGCCTATTATCAGATAATATATCCTCTCCTGCATCCCTGAACATTCCCACAGCTTGCAGGCTTTTCCACAGGTATTTGGTTGGCCACTGTGAGAATGGGATGCTGAACGGGACGGGCCATTAGCTTGGTCCATCAGCCTCATCTAATAGGTCTATGATGGCGTTCTTAATCCTACCATCTGCCGTTGCCTGCATTTGAGATCCAGTTTCCCTCTACACCCCCGTAAGTCTTTCTTAAAGTCACAATGCATGCCGATAGATGGAAAACCCTTTTTACTCTGGGTACATAACTAATGTGTTCCAACAAAGTAGCTTCTGATCCTCAGCTTTACACTGCCAGGCTGGTTAATACATGGTCACCCTGCAGTGCGCTCTCATTTGAAGTGAATCTCTTCCCACTGAGAGGATGTATATCGGAGCTTTCCCTTAAGCAAGGAACATATTCACAGCTTATTCATGCTGGCTGGAAGGTTTGAAGTGAGGTATATGAAAAGCATCACCACAGAATCTTTTTCCTTCCTGTTGTTACAGTTTTAGGTTTCAAGAGGAGCCTTACTTGGTTTTTAAAAACGCACGCAACCTTCCTTCTCATAGATGAGAAAGCTGGATCTAACATTTATTTATTTATTTTTAAATGCTTTTTATTCCAGATGCAAATCCGCAACTCTTAGATGTTGGATTTTATCAGCGCAGACTTAAAACATAGCAACCAGCTGTAAATGGAGCCATACCCTTTAGTGTAGCGTTATCTGCAGTAAACATCAGCGGGCATTATTTGAAATGAACATCGTTTGGAATGAACTAATTCAGGGAACTTAACCAAGTTCCCTGAATTAGTTCAAAAATCTGCAAACTACTCAGTGATGATGTCCAACCATATGCTGATTTCAACCTGCTGTAAAAGTGTTTTTCTTTATGTTCTTTTTCTTTGGCTTATTTTGTTTATTAATATAATATATATATTTTTAAAACCCCTCTGAATTACATGTGAAAGCAGCTCCCACAATAGCCCCTTAACTCATCTGTTTCATCTTTTTAATTTTTTTGTAGGATTCCTGTACAACCCTGTTTCCTTCTCAATGCCCCACCCCAGCAATTCCCAAAATGCCTCTAGAATGATGCTGTATCATTGAGATCTTTCAAACTTGTGATTCTCCACAAGCTGGAGCAAGAGACCATAAGAGCAGATTACCAGAAAATGCAATTAAATCATCATGCTTTACTGACAAGTTGATTCAGGTAGGTAGCCGTGTTGGTCTGACGCAGTCAAAATTAAAAATTAAAAAACAGTCTGAAGAAGTGTGCATGCACACAAAAGCTTATACCTAAAATTAGGTAAAGGTAAAGGGACCCCTGACCATTAGGTCCAGTCGTGACTGACTCTGGGGTTGCGGCGCTCATCTCGCTTTATTGGCCGAGGGAGCAGGCGTATATCTTCTGGGTCATGTGGCCAGCATGACTAAGCCACTTCTGGCGAACCAGAGCCGTTTACCTTCCCGCCGGTGTGGTACCAATTTATCTACTTGCACTTTGATGTGCTTTTGGACGGCTAGGCTAGCAGGAGCTGGGACCGAGCAACGGGAGCTCACCCTGTCGCGGGGATTCGAACCGCTGACCTAGGCAAGTCCTAAGCTCTGTGGTTTAACCCACAACGCCACCTGCATCCCCTATACCTAAACTTAGTTGGTCTCTAAGGTGCTACTGGACTATTTTTTAATATTAATAATAATAATAATAATAATAATAATAATAATAATAATATATTATTTATACCCTGCCCATCTGGATGGGCTTCCCCAGCCACTCTGGGCAGCTTCCAAAAAAATATTAAAATACTGTAATACATCAAAAATTATGACAAGTAGATGTTTCTTTTTCCTGTGGAGGGCCGTTTTCACTTTCCAATTATGGGTGGGGCTGAAGCCAGCGGCGAGTGGAGCCAGATCCCAAAGTGGCGGTACCCAAAATCTTCTCCCTTCTCCTGCCCCTCTAACGCCTCTTTCTGACACCCCCATTCCCATTTCTTATACACACTTTGTCTGATAGCCCTTTGTCTCACTCTTCATCCCAAGCCCAGTGGACAGCTAAGGAAAGGATAGTTTGCTTCCAGGCCATTTCCGAATTTAGGTCAAGGGTAGGGATGGAGGAGAAATTGTAGTCAGTTCAAATTCAGTTGCACTGAAAGGCAAATCTACCTAATTTGCACTTCCTGAAACAATATGCAAACTGAAACGCAGTCCTCCTTTGAAATGCACGCTTCTCCAAATTTTGCCATGCAGTTCTCCAACCAAGTACCGTATTTTTCGCTCTATAAGACGCACCAGACCACAAGTCGCACCTAGTTTTTGGAGGAGGAAAACAAGAAAAAAATATTCTGAATCTCAGAAGCCAGAACAGCAAGAAGGATCACTGCGCAGTGAAAGCAGCAACCCCTCTTGCTGTTCTGACTTCTGGGATAGCTGCACAGCCTGCATTAGCTCCATAAGACTCACACACATTTCCCCTTACTTTTTAGGAGGGAAAAAGTGAGTTTTATAGAGCAAAAAATACGGTAATTCATACACTAGGTAAAGTGTGTACAAAATTGCATACGTTAGTGAAAACAACATACAAAAAAACCCCCATGAAGTATCTTATGGGAAATGCAAAAAATATGTTTATTAGACAAAAATGCACGCAGTAATTTGCATATCAGGAGAACTTCGCACCGAAGTGCTGACTCTCTTTAAAGAAAACAAAAGCACAAACTAGTAAACTGAGAAACTGAGAGAAACCATGACTGTCAGGTTCACCCATCCCTATCTTGAAGGCCACATAAAATTAGAGTAGCTGCCCACACCTACATATCTATATTTCTACCTGCCTCTTTACATTTTTACAAACACGCACGCTTAAAAATGCTATTGATATTTTGGAAAGGAAAAAAATCAGCTCTAAATGTCAAGTTCAGACGCCTGAAAGCACTTATTCTTGAAAAGCTGATCTCCCTTGTGAGGGAAAGGCTTCGCTATGGAAAAAAGGCAGAAGAGGTTGATTCGTAAATGTGTTTACCTGGCCCAAGTTCATCCATAGGAATCATATCCCGACTTCCAGTCTTCTCGTTATCTACAGGAGAGAAAAATAGAAACTAGTTGGTCTATTGGAGAGGCAGATCAGGCCTCACATTCTGCAGGGAGAGGGAAGGAGGCAAGAATTTTCTGAGTGGAGGGAGCGTGTTGTAAAAGCAAATGTTTACAGGCTGGTGATTTCCAACCCACTTAAAGTAATAATAATAATGATTTATTATTTATACCCCGCCCATGTGGTTTCCCCAGCCACTCTGGGCGGCTCCCAACAGAGTATTAATAAGAAGAAAAAAGTGATAAAACATCAAACATTAAAAACCTCCCCTAAACAGGGCTGCCTTCAGATGTTTTCTAAAAGTCAGATAGTGGTTCATTTCCTTGACATCTGATGGGAGGGCGTTCCACAGGGCGAGTGCCACTACCGAGAAGGCCCTCTGCCTAGTTTCCTGTAACCTCACTTCTCACAGTGAGGGAACCGCCAGAAGGCCCTCGGAAGTGGACCTCAGTGTCCGGGCTGAAGGATGGGGGTGCAGACACTCCTTCAGGTATACTGGGCTGAGGCCATTTAGGGCTTTAAAGGTCAGCACCAACAGTTTGAATTGTGCTCAGAAGCATCCTGGGAACCAATGGAGGTCTTTCAGGACTGGTGTTATATGGTCCTGGCAGCTACTCCCGGTCACCAGTCTAGCTGCCACATTCTGGATTAGTTGTAGTTTCCGGGTCACCTTCAAAGGTAGCCCCACGTGGAGCGCATTGCAGTAGTCCAAGTGGGAGATAACCAGAGCATGCACCACTCTGGTGAGGTAGCACCATGATACCACTTTAAAAAGCCATGCCTTCTCCCAAAGAATCCTGGGAGCTGTAGTTTGTTAGGAGATGCCTATTCCCCTCTCAGAGCGGTTTAACCACCAATCCCTCTTCCCAGGGAATTCTGGGAATTGTAGCTCTGCGAGGAGAACAAGGGCTTCTTAGCAATTCTCATCACTATTTACACTTAAAGCATTATCATACTCTTTAAACTGTCACGGATTCCGCAAATAACTTCATATAGTTTGTTAGAGGTCTTGAGAGTAGTTAGGAGCTCCCCCACCCCCGCCCCAGTCTCCTCACAGAGCTAAAATTCCCAGAGTTCCCTGGGGCGAGGGACTGACCATTAAACCACTCTGAAAACTGTAGCTCCGTGAGGCAAATAATAATAATAATAATAATGAATTTATATACTGCCCTAAACCCGAAGGTCTCAGGGCGGTTCACAGAACAAAATCAAAATATAAAGCCACAAAATATAGAATCAAAATAAAAACAGCAACGCAATAACCCCCCAACCCCCCCCCCCATTTTAAAATGGCATACATAGGATGTCAATCAAATCAACCAAAGGCCTGGCTAAAAAGGAACGTTTTTGCCTGGTGCCTAAAGGTGTATAATGAAGGCGCCAGGCAAAATTCCCAGGATTCTTTGCGGTGAGCCGTGACTGTTTAAAGTGGCATGTTATTGGTTTAAGTGAGGCCAGTTTCTCAGCCTAACCTACTCCACAGGGTTGTTGTGCCACCTCGAGCTCCTTGGGAGGAAAGGTGGAATATATATTTATTGAATAAACACGTTAGAATGAATGTTTGGCATCGCGTCCAGCCTGAGCCCCAGTATCTTCTCATTTTCACACGACTGCTTAGAAGAGCTCAAGACGGACCCCTCTGGGACGAGCACAGACCTTGACTTTTATCCACGAGAGGCAGGGTGCTGTCGTCATAGCCAGACTTGCACGAGGTGCCTTTGGATCCCTTAGGAGTCGCAGACGCAGACTGGAAAGAAAGGAAAACGCCAGAGTCAGCAGCTTCGGAGGGAACAGAGCGGAAAGCAAAACCCGCTTCAGAAAGTTATCATGAAACGCTCATTCCAACAAAACCAATCTGCGTCCTACTTCCTATTTTTGGTATGGTGGTAGTCAGCAATAAGTCGGCATGCTGAGAGCTCATTTTTCCAGCTTGTGCGCTTTATGGTCTTACTGGGATGGGGGGGGGACAGAAGTGTGACAACGCTGCTCTATTACTTTCCTAGCAGGTGAAGTCAGCTCCCCCCTTTAGGAGGGGCTGCTTTGCAGGTGGGAATCTGGGTCCTTGCAGTGAACCTGGAGGGGGCGTAGGAATGCTGCCCATGTCTTCATGATCCCCGGACGTGTCACGCCCCAGGCCAGCCAATCAGGTTTGCCCGGGGTGTGGCCACACCTGTTTAAATTGTGGCACGTCCGGGGAAGCATCCTCCTTGTTTGCCTCCATTTTGCGGGATCTCCCAGCCCACCCACCCCCTTTCTTGCATGGTTTAACTATGGCCTTGCAATGACTTTTGTCGGTCGCCTGGTTAAATCTTATTGTAAAGGAAGTAAAGGGACCCCTGACCATTAGGTCCAACCGTGACCGACTCTGGGGTTGCGGCGCTCATCTCGCTTTATTGGCCGAGGGAGCCGGCGTACAGCTTCCGGGTCATTTGGCCAGCATGACTAAGCCGCTTCTGGCGAACCAGAGCAGTCCACGGAAACCTTCCCGCTGCAGTGGTAACTATTTATCTACTTGCACTTTGACATGCTTTCGAACTGCTAGGTTGGCAGGAGCAGGGACCGAGCAACGGGAGCTCACCCCGTTGCGGGGATTCGAACCGCCGACCTTCTGATTGGCAAGTCCTAGGTTCTATGGTTTAACCCACAGCACCACCTGCGTCCCAAGTCTTATTGTCAATTATTGTAAATTTAAGTCTGCCGCAACTGGATTTCTTATGGACAGTGCCAATCCTGAATTGGATTTGTGACCACTATGCTCATTTGTACTTCAGTAGCAGTAAAGCTCTGCTGGATGAAATATTAATTGCCTCTGGTCTGTTTTGGGGGGAATCCTGAAACGTGTTTAAGTTTTTACTCTGCTAACTACACATTGGAGTTTTGCTCCGGATCAATATTGAGTGGAATTCCATGACAACATTTAATTTGCATTGGTGTGGTGCTTTATTTGGCTAGCACATTGCTTTCACAAATGTTATGTTTGTTATGTTCCTGCTTGCTCCACTCGCAACCTCTTACTACCCCCACATTAATCCCATAGAGCTTTCCCTTCCCAAACCAGTAAGCTCGCTTTTCGCCTCCCAACCACATTTGCACCAACAGCTCTCGAGCAGACCTCTGCGGTCGCCGTTCACCTGGAAATGGGATTTGTTCCAGCCTTCCTTCTGCAAAACGCTCCGTAGCTCTTTGTAACTCCAGGTCATCTGTAGGACGTGAGAGGCTGCTTTCGTTTCCCTGGAAGACTGGCTGGTTTTGTAGGGGAGAAGATGGCAGGCAAAGAAGCAAACGTCGTAAGTCAGAGAAATTCAGATATTGAAGCCTGTTGACAATTTAAGTCATTAACAAATGCAAGCATCTGGAGGGACCGGTCAGCCGTTCTCTTGAACCTGAAACTATTACAAAGGGCCAGTTCTCACGACCATGTTTATTGACATGGAACATTTATCTTAGGGTTCCTGCAAATATCCTTTTTATTGCTCAGGCATGATTATTTGTGCTTGGGACGCTTTTAAGGATGGTCACACACAGCCCTGCTTTCAACACTGCTGGTGCCTGCAAAAAAATTGGGGTAACTGTATGACAAGCAATGCCTCAAACGTGATTGGATGGAACTGGGGTGTAAGGAAGAGGTAGAAACAGCTTTGCCCACCTGAACCCCTGGATTTTCATGGAACCCTAAATATAAATATGGCTTCTCCCATTTAACAGTTCACTTGTCTTCCTTGCTAAGGCTCTGGAATGTGGCTTTGCCCTTTTTGACTCGCTTCTGCCTGTGATGAGTTTGAGAAATATTTGCATCCATGCCATGCCTTGGAACTGTAAGCCAGGAGAAAGCAGCTTCTGACCAACATTTCTGCAAATAAGTTTTAAGGATCGTGGCTTCCGATAATACATAGCCTAAGACAAAGTTTACACTTCAGGCATTTTTAACTCTGTCCCTATATTTCTGTTTCCTTTATTGAACTAGTCATTATATATCTGCTTGTTTGTTTTTTGCTTGGGTTTTTCTGCACTTTGTAAGTTGGGCGCGTACAGTGGTACCTCTGGTTGCGAACGGGATCCATTCCGGAGGCCCGTTCGGAACATGCAAAGCCAGCAACCTGAAGCGCCGTATCTGCGCAGGTGAGTGGTGTGATTTGGCACTTGTGCGCATAGTGCAATTTAGTGCTTTTGCGCATGCGTGAGTGGTGAAACCCGGAAGTAATCCTTTCCGGTACTTCCGAGTCGCCGTGGGATGCAACCTGAAAAAACGTAACATGAAGCAAACGTAACTTGAGGTATGGCTGTACTACCAAGGTGCTCCTATGGAGTGATTTGAGGAGCTGAATGGTCTCGGGGCCAAAATAACAGACCAAATGCTTAAACTCACAGTAATTATTTCATTGCGATACTTAGTTGTGCTTCCCTTCCAGTTGCCTCAAAAAGGGAAAGGTGGTGGTGGCAGTTCCACTCAAGACAAGTGTAGCTGCCAACCTGGCACCCACGGGCACCAGTGTGCCCACCAGGACCTCCTATGGCACCTGTGAAAGGTCTCAGTAAATGCCCCCTCAAAAAACCCACAATGCATGAAAGTGGTTAGACTGCAAGCATAGGCAAACATGGCCCTCCAGATGTTTTGGGACTACAACTCCCATCATCCCTGACCACTGGTCCTGTTAGCTAGGGATGAGGGGAGTTGTAGTCCCAAAACATCTGGAGGGCCGAGTTTGCCTATGCAAAAATAAAAATATTTCCACCTTGCAGCTTCTCTCCAGCACTGTTGTGGTGCAAATGAGAGCTATTTGAGATTATTGCCCATCTCCTTATGATCGTTCCACATTGGGGCAGTTTATTTTGTTAACAGCCTTATCATTGCCATCCATATAATGGAATGTTGTGAAAGGACAAACGTCTCCCACTCTGCCAATAAATGTCTGGATTTCCTTAAATGATGATGCCTGATAAATGCATGCCTGATGCCGAGGAATAGAGCAGGCAACAAGGGAATCTGTCCCGAGATGACGGATCGTTTCGTTCTATTGATCTTGTCTCTGAAGTCAACTCAACCTATTAAGGGCGGTGATTTACGATAAGCAGTTACGGCATGTGCATTAAGCGCTCCAGCTGCGCAACCAAAAGATGAAACGCAAAAGTTGGAAGCCGCAGATGTCCCAGAGTTATTTCATTTCCTGCTTTAGGAATATGATGGTCAGCATGATGCTCCTAACTCTTGTAGAGGAGGTGAGCATCAGAGCCCTGAAAAGTCCTTCTCTGGCTTGGAAAAGAAAATCAGTTCCTGCAGACGCACAGGGAGTGTTCTTTAAAGCTCAAATATATATTTAAGAAGGTCCGTATAGTTAAAGCCATGGTTTTCCCAGTAGTGATGTATGGAAGTGAGAGCTGGACCATAAAGAAGGCTGATCGCCGAAGAATTGATGCTTTTGAATTATGGTGCTGGAGGAGACTCTTGAGAGTCCCATGGACTGCAAGAAGAACAAACGCATCCATTCTTAAGGAAATCAGACCTGAGTGCTCACTGGAAGGACAGATCGTGAAGTTGAGGCTCCAATACTTTGGCCACCTCATGAGAAGAGAAGACTCCCTGGAAAAGACCCTGATGTTGGGAAAGATGGAGGGCACAAGGAGAAGGGGACGACAGAGGATGAGATGGTTGGATAGTGTTCTCGAAGCTACAAACATGAGTCTAACCAAACTGCGGGAGGCGGTGGAAGACAGGAGTGCCTGGCGTGCTCTGGTCCATGGGGTCACGAAGAGTCGGACACGACTAAACGACTAAACAACAACAACATATATTTAAGTCCAATACAGTGGTACCTCTGGTTATGAATAGAATCCGTTCTGGAAGCCTGTTCGCAACCTGAAAAGAACGCAACCCGTGTCTGCGGGTTGCGATTCGCTGCTTCTGCGCATGTGCATGATGTCATTTTGTGTGTCTGCGCATGCGCGAGCGGCAAAACCCGGAAGTAACCCTTTCCGGTACTTCCGGTTCGCAGCAGGACGCAACCTGAAAACGCACAACCTGAAGCAAATGTAACATGAGGTACAACTGTACACCAATTAGTGCTCATGCTTAGCTCAGCAAACAGGCACCTGGGCAAGTCCAGTGGTGCTCCTGAGTCTTGGGGGTTGAGCAGTGCGCTAACCCAAACAGCCCAGAGTATCAGCCCAGACTTAGCAACCTATCCGCTTGACCTGTGCTTTTCATGACCTCTTTAGCTTATCCTAGGACAAGAGACACACACAGTCACAAAAACGTCCTCCAGTATGCTCCTTGTTCAACGCCATAGCTGTCAACTTACAGATTTGAAGATAAGGGTCCAGCAGCCTCGAAAATAAGGGATCAGCAGCCAAAATAAGGGATCAACAATTACTTTGATAAAATACATATTTTGTTGCGTGCAAATGGCTTTAGATACCTATTAGGTCCATAAATTACCATATAGCATATATTCAACACAAAAAATCAGCAACAATTTGTTGTTGACAAAGGACAGCTGGACATAGAAAGGGCCCCATTACCTTCAGTAGCTTATTTAAGGGACATCATCAATAAGGGACAGCAGCAGGACATGGCCCCGGGATAAGGGACTGTCCCGCCAAACAAGGGACACTTGACAGCTATGTTCAATGCAAATGCTGTCTGAGCTAACGTTAATGCCCAGGACACGGACCAAAGAAGTGAAATGTCGGGTGTCTCCAGCACAGCTGGCGTCAGAGGAGAGAATAACACAAGGACAAGGAGCAAATAACCTCTCTGTGCCGACTTGTCCTCTTTCTCCTTTGATTGGTGGTGTTGGCTGGGTTCAAAGTGGAAGGAAGCCAACAGGCAGCGGCAACAGGGGTGGGGTGGGGGCCAAGAGGAAGGGATGTGGAGCATCTGCTTGGAAAGCAAAAGGCCTTGAGGTCTCTCTGCAACATCTCCAGGGACAGCAGCAAGGAACGCCTCTCTGAACCCTGGAGAGCTCCAGCGAGTCAATGTAGACAAGAATGAGCTAGATGAAAGATTGATCAGACTTGGTATAAGACAGATTCCTAGGTTTCGGCCCAGTATGCCTGAAGGAGCGTCTCCACCCCCATCGTTCAGCCCGGACACTGAGGTCCAGCGCCAAGGGCCTTCTGGCGGTTCCCTCCCTGCGAGAAGCGAAGCTACAGGGAACCAGGTAGAGGCCCTTCTCAGTAGTGGCACCCGCGCTGTGGAACGCCGTCCCATCAGATGTCAAGGAAATAAGCAACTATCTGACTTTTAGAAGACATCTGAAGGCAGCCCTATTTAGGGAAGTTTTAAATGTTTGATATTTTATCGCTTTTTTATTGTTGTTGTTGGTATTCTGTTGGGAGCCGCCCAGGTTGGCTGAGGGAACTCAGCCAGATGGGCGGGGTATAATAGATTATTATTATTATTATTATTATTATTATTATTATTATTATTATTATTTATTACACAAGGCCCTCTGAAACCAGGAGCTGACACAGCACTCTATTTCAATCAGGAATACAAGTGCATTTGGAATTCTTGGGGAGAAAAACAGGATTTGCACTCCCATGATTCTCTATTTGAACTCGCTAAACCCTTTATGGCTTAGGGCCCTCGTATTTACGGGACTGCCTCTCCTGGTATGCCCCGCAGAGGACCTTAAGGTCCATGAATAATAATAGTTTAGCGGTCCTGGGCCCTAAGGAAGTCAGATTATCTTCCACCAAGGCCAGGGCCTTCTCAGTGATGGCTCCGACCTGGTAGAATGCTCTGTCCCATGAGACCAGGGCCCTGCAGGATTTAACTTCCTTCCGCAGGGTCTATAAGACAGAGCTATTCCGCCTAGCTTTCAATTTGAACTTAGCTTGATCTTTTATTCCCCTTCCTTCCTTCCCTCCCCCTCCCTTTTTTATGAAGATAACCCGCTCTGGGATCCCACAGCTAATTCTCCCCTGGTCTCCTCGCTGGCCCAAATAGGACTAATTTAGCCAGCTAGCCCTGGTGATCATCTAATGCAGTGTTTCCCAACCTTTTTTGGGCAAAGGCACACTTGATTGATGAAAAAAATCTTGAGGCACACAACCATTACAGCCCCGTGACGTCAGCGCGCAGCGTCACGCCGGGAGGGACGCACGAAAGTGTAAGTTTCAATTTTTTCCCCTCCCCCTTGCCGGGGAACCTCCAAGCTTTGGGGGTGGGGGGGGAGGAGGCAGCAAAGCGAGGGACTGAGGCACTCCTCCAACTCCTCCTCCTGCTCGTCCACGGCCGGGAAGAGCCGCTTGAGGCGCCGCTTGAGCTCCTTCTCCTGCTTGTTCAGGGCCGGGTCGCCGCCGTGAGGGAAGGGCGCCGGGGCGCTGCTGCTGCCACCGCCGCTCCCGGCAGGCATGGGCCCAGCTGAGGCGGCGGCTGTTGTGGTGGTGGCGGCGATAGCGGGCGGAGGAGGGGGCGGCAGCGGGGCCGAGGTGGCCGGCGGCGGCGGGGGAGGCGGGGGCGGGTGGAGCAGGAGGGCGGCTGAGGCCGGTGAGGGAGTAGGGTTGCCCGGGGCTTGAGGAGCCGTCGCCGGGAGTTGCTGCTGTTGTTGTTGCTGCTGCTGCCCGGACATGCCGGCCTCCTCCTCGTCCGCTGTCTCGCGCTCCTCCCTTTTGCGCGCGCTGCCCCGCCGCCGCCCCATTGGCCGGGTCCTGTCAGCTGATCCTGTGTTATTTCCTGTGTGTGTGTGTGAGGGGAGAATGGAGAGAGAAACCTCGGCACCACCACCGCGGAGCCGCCCCCAGCTCGACGCGGATCCTCGCCGCCGCCGCCCCGCCTCTCGCCGCCCGACTCGCCCGCCTCCCTCCCACGGCACACCAGGCAACGTCTCGCGGCACACTAGTGTGCCGCGGAACACCGGTTGGGAAACACTGATCTAATGTTTATGGGATGGATTTCCCCACTAAATTGATTTTTTAATTCTGAATTTATTGCTATTCACATTTTATACTGTATTTTATGCTCTTTTTTGTTGCATCAATTAAGTGTTTTAAATTTGTTGTTAGGCGCCCTGAGCCTGGTTTTCTGAACTGGGAAGGGTGGGGTATAAATAAAACATTATTATTATTTATTATTATAAATACTCATTATCTGAGGGCCTCTTTCCAAACTGAGCTACCCTCTCCTGTTTGCACCATCTCTCATCAGCAGACCACATGCATGTTCCAAACCCAGCACTGCCAGATGAAAAGGAGGAAGGTAGCAGGCGACAGGAAGGATCCTTTGAAATGATCCAGAGAAGCTGCTGCTCAAGAGCAGTCATCACTGGGCAAGATGGAGCAGCAGTCTGGGTAGGTAGAAGGCAGCATCCTTCGTTCTTGTGGACACGTGAAAGAAAAACTAACCTCGATTTGCTGATAGCGACCAGCTTCTGAATGCCTTGCGTCTGGATCAGGGACCTGGCATTTTCCACGCTGTCGGTAATGATTTCATGGATGGTATTCAGGACTGCAACCACGGTGTCCTCCTCCAGGTTTTTCGAAGACCTCTGTTGCTTGCTGGGTAAATTTCTCACTAGCTCCCCCATGGCATAACTACCTGAGGAACAGAAAGGGCTCTCGTTAGTTCAACCCGATCGTTCAATTCAAGACCTCGATCCTGTATACCTGAAGGTGCATCTCCACCCCCATCGTTCCAGGGCCTTCTGGCGGTTCCATCATTGCTAGAAGTAAGGTTGCAGGGAACCAGACAGAGGGCCTTCTTGGTAGTGGCGCCTGCCCTGTGGAACGCCCTCCCAGCAGATGTCAAGGCAATAAACAACTATTTTACTTTTAAAAGACAACTGAAGGCAGCCCTCTTTAGGGAATTTTTTAATGTCTGATGCTGTACTGTTTTTAATATTCAGTTGGAAGCCGCCAGATGGGCGGGGTATAAATAATAAATTATTATTATTATTATTATTATTATTATTATTATTATTATTATTATTGAAAAGAACAGGGTTACGACTCAGCCGGGAGTTCATGCTTTGTATTATTCCATCTATTTTGTTTTATAAAACATATGCAGTGCTTGATTGTATAAGGTCTCGTCACAAAAATCAATAAACAAAATAATACAAGTTATCCGTATAAACGGTTAAAAGCAGCTATTGAAAACCACCCAGAAAAAGATGAAAACCAGCAATAAACAGATTAAAGCAAACATCAGCATTCTACGTATCTGGGTAGGCTTGTCTAAACAAAAAATTCTATACGTTTTGGCAAAGTGATTTCCCCTAATGTAATGCATTTTTTAATGTTGTTTTCCCAAATGTATCCATTTTCATGCACACTTTACCCTGGTATAAGCATTTTTGTAAGGTAAAAGACCCCTGGACGGTTAAGTCCAGTCAAAGGTGACTATGGGGTTGCGGCACTCATCTCACTTTCAGGCCAAGGGAGCCGGTGTTTGTCCACAGACAGCTTTCTGGGTCATGTGGCCATCAGGACTAAACCGCTTCTGATGCAACAGAACACCGTGACGGAAACCAGAGCACACGGAAACTCTGTTTCCCTTCCCGCCACAGTGGTACCTATTTATCTACTTGCACTGGCGTGCTTTCGAAGTGCTAGGTTGGCAGGAGCTGGGACAGAGCAATGGGAGCTCGCCCCGTCCTGGGGATTCGAACCGCCGACCTTCTGATCGGGAAGCCCAAGAGGCTCAGTGGTTTAGATCACAGTGCCATCAGCGTCCCTGTAAGCCTTTTTCTACACATTACTTGGCCAAGCACTGGCTTTATCTAGTCAGGGCTCTTTCACATTCTAATGTCACCATGAACGGAGGGGGAGAGAAGATTTTTTCCACCTCAACATTGGCTGTGGGAATAGATCTCCAGCTGAAGACATCCTTGTTTCAGGGACCTACCCATTTGATGTAGGACCCTCGTACCTACAGGACCGCCTCTCCTGGTATGCCCCATGGAGGATCTTAAGGTCCATAAATAGCAACACCCTAGTGGTCCCAGGCCCTAAGGAAGTTAGATTAGCCTCAACCAGAGCCAGGGCCTTTTCAACACTGGCTCCAGCCTGGTGGAACGCTCTTTCTCATGAGACCAGGGCCCTGCAGGATCTGATTTCTTTCCGCAGGGCCTGTAATAATAATAATAATAATAATAATAATAATAATAATAATAATTTATTATTTATACCCCGCCCATCTGGCTGGGCCTCCCCAGCCACTCTGGGCGGCTTCCAAAAAAATATTAAAATACTATAATACATCAAACATTAAAAGCTTTCCTAAACAGGGCTGCCTTCAGATAACAGGGCTGCTGTAAGATAGAGTTGTTCCGCCTAGTCTTTGGCTTGGAGCCAATTTGATTCCCTCCCCCTCTTTCTTTTTTCCTTTCTCCTCCTGCGATGAGGCTGCATTTTAATATTTTAATGTTTCAAGATTTTAATGTTGTATTTTAATCTTGTTTTCAAGTTGTATTCCTTCAATTTGTTTTTATTATTGCTTGTTAGCTGCCCTGAGCCCGGCCTTGGCTGGGGAGGGCGGGGTATAAATAAAAATTATTATTATTATTATCAGGAAGCATTTGGAACATACCTATGAGATCCTTATTGCGGCGATCCATGGAGAGGTTCCTCAGAGCGATGGACACGGCTCTCACCACTTTGTCAGAATCGGACTGGAGGAGCTCCACGAGAACCGGAAGGCCTCTCTCCTTCCGCACTGTCGCCCGGATATACGTGGACCACTGACCAGGAAGAAATGGGGCAAGGGGACACTCAAGAAATTTAGAGGGGCTTCAAGTCAAAGACCCATGTTTCTATAGACATTTTTTAATAAAAAACAAATTAGATTTTGCGTTTTAAGAAGGTCAATCTAATGCAGCGTTTCTCAAACCTGGGTCTCTGGCTGTTGTTGGACTACAACTCCCATCACCCCTAGCTAGAAGGACCAGTGATCATGGATGATGGGAGTTGTAGTCCAAGAACAGCCAAGTCTGAGAAACACTGGATGGATCCATTCCAGCCTGGCTTCGTCACAATCAGCGCTGTTTTCATTGCACTGCATTTCAGTTTCCATCAAATACTATGCCATTTGTCTTGCGGTCCTCTATTTCATGTAATTTACATAACTATGCACATGATTTATGTAAGTTAATTGATTTAACTGAATTAATGACATAATTATTTACACTCCATTCATTTCAGTGCAAAATAAACATCATTTAAAGGGGGGTGGGGGAGACAGTAATCAATTATGTATCAGTTGCAGACTGAAAAACAACAACCGTGAATATTGATCACTGTCAAAAAGGTTCTCCACCTGAGGCATAAATGAGCCTCACAGGAAACCTGGAGGTGGGGGGGGGGGAGGCCAGATCATCTTTCCAAAGCAAACTTGGGCAACAAGATGAAACCTAAGCGGGTATAATGCCTCTCACCGTAAAATACTTAAATGGCAGTAAGGGTAGAAGAAGAACACACATCACTCACTGTCCAGTTTCCGGCACTGAGGTTCTGCAAAGCTCCCGCTGCCGCTTCCAGAGTGTTGAAGTTCTGGCTTTCGGTGAGAATCGACAGATAAAGCCTCACCACTTCGGGCTGGTAGAGCAACTCGAAACCTAAAAGCAGGGAAGGCGGAAAAAACCACATTTAGATTTGTAAGGCTGCTAAAGAGAGGGATGGGATGTGGGTGGCGCTGTGGGTTAAACCACAGAGCCTAGGACTTGCCGATTAGAAGGTCGGCAGTTTGAATCCCCGCAAGGGGTGAGCTCCCGTTGCTTGGTCCCTGCTCCTGCCAACCTAGCAGTTCGAAAGCACATCAAAGTGCAAGTAGATAAATAGGTGCCACTCTGGCGGGAAGGTAAACGGCATGTCCGTGCACTGCTCTGGTTCGCCAGAAGCGGCTTAGTCATGCTGGCCACATGACCCGGAAGCTGTACGCCGGCTCCCTCAGCCAATAAAGTGAGAAGAGCGCCGCAACCCCAGAGTCAGCCACGACTGGACCTAATGATCAGGGGTCCCTTTACCTTAAAGAGAGGGAGGCCAGTTTCCTCGAAGACAATGAAAGGGTTTTGTGTCAAATCCACACCAGACGTTTTAAGCACATGTAAAGCCCCAAAGATTCCTGGGAACTGTAGTTCACCCCTGACAGAACAACAATTCCCAAGACCCTTAATAAGCTACAGTTCCAACGATTCTTTTATATGATTTAAGTGTGTTAAATCGATCTGGCCCTTGATCGATAGAGCCGCGACTTCAGACAGCTTTACGGTCCCAATCAATCACTTACAGCGGTCCGGCACGCTTCCTCCCAAGCTGCGCAATAACTCCTGCTGTCTCTTCTCAGTCACGGCTTTTAGCAGAGTAGAAACACAGCGTGTAAAGCAGTCTTACTCCTTGTAAGCACACATAGACAGGTTCGTCTATTTACAGCTCTTTATTACAACATTTCAGCATCAAAGTCCGTCACTGCTGGCAGCCATTGCTGCAAACATGTCTCCCTCTCAGATACACAGAGGGAACTGAAAACAAACAGGGAATAGTCCCGCCCAGCTTCTAAAGCTTCTGTCTCCGCCCAGCTGTAAGCTGACGTCAGCAGGTGACACACACCAGGGAATTTAACCAGATAAATTCTGAACTATAACACCCCCCCTTGTGTCCCTGCGTGATACCTGTGCAACATCTTCAGTAATACCTTGTGAGATCAATTCCTTCCCCAATGCCTTGCGCCTTCCCTTGGCAAACCTGTTTGGCATTTGTGGAACCACCTCACAACTTTCAGAATCGCACTGTGCGAAACTTACCCACGCACCTGTGGCCTGATACCTCTCTGGTGGGATACCCTTTGTTGTGCGACTGGACCTCCTAGGCACAAACTCAGGTGTTCCCTCTGACTCACTTTGATCAGCAGGTGTGTCCTCTGCATCATGGGATTCCCCTCTGACTTAAAGCGTCTTCGAATCCTCTCCATTACACTCACAGGAGAACTAGGCTCGCTTTTGGGTGCTCTCTTAACATCTTGTGGAGAAACTACAGATACCTCCTCCTGTTCCTGACTTTGCTCCTGACTTTGGTCAGTGATCTGATCATCATCATCGGATTCTGAACCCTGATCCTGGACCTGGTCCTCATCAGCAGGCTCAGCCTCTCCTTCCTCCTCATCACAACTGTCCTCTGGGTCAGAGAGACAATCTGAGAGAAGATCACGCTGGAAAACAATCTTTGGCTTCTCACTCTGCTCAAAGAACTCAGCGTGTTTACTGATCAGCACTTTACTCTGATCACCTGATGGAAATGCGAACCTCCATGCACGGGCTTCTGGCTCATACCCACAGAAGATCATTTTCTGGACTTTGGCTCCATCTGGCCCTCGCAAAGCCTCAGGCACAGAGACAAGCGCAGGGGTCCCAAACGTCCGCAGAAAGTGAACCTGGGGTTTTCGGCCATTTAACAAAGAGAACGGTGTGTCACCTACCAATGAGTTATAGACACGATTCCAGGTGAATGACACAGCCCTCGTAGCCTCCAGCCAAAACTCAGGAGGTAACCTGGCTTCTTTCAGCATCACCTGTGCAGCCTTAACCAGAGCTCCACTTCGCAGCTCTGCCACCCCACCTTGCTGGGGTGAAATAACTGTGTGTCGTATCCCTTTCTTGTGAAAGAACTCCTGCAAAGCAGAACCAGTGTACTTAGCATTTCTGTCACTGATGATAGCTTGAACCCTGGTGGAGAACCTCTGTTCCACCCCTTCAATCCAGCTCTTGATCAGCCGTGCTGCATCCTCCCTGGATTTAAGACCGTGAGCCCAGGAATTCTGCGAGAAATCATCCAGAAAAGTGAGCAGAAACCTGGCCCCCCCTAGACTTGGTGCCTTGACAGGACCGGACAAATCTATGTGAACCAGCTCAAAAGGTTTAGTGGCTACACGTTCCACCTTTGGGTAACTGCACCCCCTCACCTTTGCCTGCTTGCAAGTGTCACAATTAATGGCACTTTGACAATTTTTAATCTTACAACCTGTAACAACCTCAGGTAACACCTGCAAATCCTCTAAAGGATTGTGAATCGTTCTCTGATGCCATACGCATGCACATGTAACATTATGAGCGGGAATTGTAGCACGCTGGTTGGGAACTGTAGCACGCAACGCTTGTGCTTTCTCAACCTTCCCCTCACCTCCAAGAGACGTTTTAAGAATGAAAAGATCATTCTGTCCCTTCCGCACTTTGGCCAGTAACCTCCCCCCTTTGGAGATCGTGCAGACATCGTTTTCAAAACAAACTTTGAACCCCTTACTTAACAAATAAGGCACAGATAACAAACAATGTTGAATCTCTGGAACAATACATAAATCCACCGTCTCCTGTAAAACAGAAAGATAGGCATTAGTACACGTGGACACTCTAGTTTTCTGTCCATTTGCAAACTTAATAGTCTGTCCCTTCGGAACTGCCGTGCAATTCCACCTCTCGACTGCAGGGGTCTCTGGAACCATGTTGCGGTTAGCTGCAGAGTCTATTACAAAGGCCATCTCGGAATTTTCCACTCGGCCGTCTTCAAACACTGCCATACTCGCCGAGACTTGATAAGACTCTTCTCCCTGCTGTTTACCACGGCCACCTGGCTCAGTTCCACGCCTGCCTGTCTTCCCAGGCCTGTTGCCATGGAAACCCGCCTGATTCCCATGGGAAATGTCCTTCACAACATCCTGCCTCGGCTCTCTGCACCGGTGGGGGCACTTGCCACTCAGATGTTGCGCCGTGTGACGAACTCCAGTGGAAAAACACTGCCCGGGGCTCCCAGCTGGCTTGGCCCTCCTCCTTCTGGAACGGCGCCTCCCACCAGCCTCGCCCCCCCTGAAGCTGCTCTCCGCTTCAGCACAAAGGGAAAGTCCTTTAAACTTGCCTTTGGAACTCTTCGCCCCCCCGATCTGCTCACTAGCGCTCCTAGAGGCCAATACATCGGGAACAGGGCCTGCCAGTCCAGCCTTTCCAGGACTCAGTCCATCACACAGACGTGTAGAAGCATTACAACAGCTTCCCAACACTGTCCCAGCCCCCATTGGGCTTTCTGGGCATCCTTCTGCCTCTCCAGGGCTTCCTCCAGGGCTCTGGCCTTTCGCTGACGCCTCACACAAGCCTTTCAGCAAATTCCAGGCAGCCCACGCTGTCGTTACGCCCTCCAACTGAGGCCCCAGTGACGCATCAACGCATGCTTTGAGCATCTCCAGCTCTCTTTGCAGCCTCTGGCTATCTTCAGCCAACACAGCCCCACAGCTTGCTTCACCTGCTCCAGCTGCTGGCCGGCTAAGGGGTGTTTCTTTTGGCTCCCACTGGTTTGCTTCCCAGAGCCCTTCAACCAAGAACCATCCCCTTATTCTCCTGGACCACGTTGCCCAACTCTTTAGAGTGAGCTTTTCCACTGGTATATCCTGGCAGTCTGCCATCTTCTCCCGTTCTCCCAAGGGGCCCCAAGCTGTACTCACAGACCAGTTTCAGCTCCTCTGGCTCTCCCTTCCGTGGAGAAACGATTTTTCAGCTGCTTTTCAGCTCCCAGCTGCTTCTTGCTTTTAGCTCTGTGTTCCAGCAGCTCTCTCAGCAGCTTCTTTGCCTCTTAGACGCAGGCAAACATCAGGCGAGACTCACTGAAAGCAGCCTCCGACATCCGGCCAGCTCCGTTTCTCAGATCCCAGCTTCAAAGCCTTCCTGAAGCTGATTTACGACTGCTTTACGAGCGTTGGCTGACCTCCCATAACCTCTTCGGATAAATCGATCTGGCCCTTGATCGATAGAGCCGCGACTTCAGACAGCTTTACGGTCCCAATCAATCACTTACAGCGGTCCGGCACGCTTCCTCCCAAGCTGCGCAATAACTCCTGCTGTCTCTTCTCAGTCACGGCTTTTAGCAGAGTAGAAACACAGCGTGTAAAGCAGTCTTACTCCTTGTAAGCACACATAGACAGGTTCGTCTATTTACAGCTCTTTATTACAACATTTCAGCATCAAAGTCCGTCACTGCTGGCAGCCATTGCTGCAAACATGTCTCCCTCTCAGATACACAGAGGGAACTGAAACAAACAGGGAATAGTCCCGCCCAGCTTCTAAAGCTTCTGTCTCCGCCCAGCTGTAAGCTGACGTCAGCAGGTGACACACACCAGGGAATTTAACCAGATAAATTCTGAACTATAACAATGTGGATGTGACTTTCTAGTGTCTTAAAGGCTAACAAATGTATTATTATTACTTTCCCCTGATAATCAGGGGTCAGCAAACTTTTTCAGCAGGGGGCCGGTCCGCTGTCCTCAGACCTTGTGGGGGGCTGGACTATATTTTTTGGGGAGAAATGAACGAATTCATATGCCCCACAAATAACCCAGAGATGCATTTTAAATAAAAGCACACATTCTACTCATGTAAAAACACCAGGCAGGCCCCACAAATAACCCAGAGATGCATTTTAAATAAAAGCACACATTCTACTCATGTAAAAACACACTGATTCCCGGACCGTCCGCAGGCCGGATTTAGAAGGCGATTGGGCCAGGCCTTAGGTTGCCTACCCATTGTCTAAATAGGGAGGGCTGGTGGGGCTAGATAGACCTGAGGGTCTGAGATGCCCC